CATCAACATTCAGCAACATAACAACAGTGACACAATCTGCAGCAACAGCAGCAGCAGTAACAACAGCACCAACACTGCTATCACAAAGTTGAGATTCTAGCTTTCAAAACTACTCAATCAACTCACCAATTTCACAAAATGTTCCTGCGTACATAGGACTTGAACACTGGCATTCAAAGCCTCCACTTGATGTCACAATACAGACTGCACCATTTTGACAAGGGGCGCTCGCACAAGCAGTGACTATGGGCAGAAACAAAGGAGACTGTTCACACCACACTTTACAAAAGCCAAATACTTAATTTTGATGGGAACTTGGTGGAAGTCCAAGAACACTTACGTACACGTATGCTTATATTTTCCAGAAAAACCACCAAGTCCTTTTAATAGTACATAATAGTTAAGAGTCTTCCTAAAAACAACAGTATGCTTTGTTTTTGAATTTCAATAGCATCAAAACCAACACGCTGCAATAGCTGGGCCTCTTATCCCCTGGGTATGAGAAAATAAACAAATATGGATGGTCCTTTGCATTTAGGAATGAAACTGTTTGGGAATAACAAAGTCAAATAACTTCCTGCAGTGTGTAAACTTTATTACCTGTCTGACAGACAGAGCCGGAGTAACCCTCAAGACAGGCACAGGAAAACCCACTGGAGGAACTAGATGTACAGACACCACCAAACAAACAAGGGTTGCTGCCACAGGGGTCCGTCACTATGGACACAAAAGTAATATGACTCATTCAGTGCTTGAAGTTGCTGCTTGCAGAGGCCAGTTCTGTGAGAAATTTTCTGTGACCAGAGGCCGTGTTGAAGGTTGGACATTTTACAAGACAGTTTGGGGAAAGTTGATATCTTAAACTTTTTCTTGACTATCAATGTAGCAAATAAAGCAAGTCTAATAAAAATTAGCATGAAGTTACCGTCTGAAAACACTTTTTTCTTAACCATTTCCTGCCGGGTGCTTTTAAAATGCAGTTCCTACGTACAGGCCATTTTTCAATATCTTCGGTTTTCAAAAATCTTCAAAAATTCTTATCGTTTTTTCATGAAGGCCTAAACTCCATGAAGTGACTGTCTGGTGGCTACTCTAATCTGACAAACAACATCTATTGATGCCAGAGTATTTCAGCCAGGCCTGCCTCCTTGTACAAAGAGCCCACATTGTGCAGTGTTATATAAGTTCCTTTTGTTCCCGAAACTGGCACAGTGCACTTCTGGCATCTTTTCAATGCGGGCCAGATTAGCGTGCAGGAGTATGCTATTGCTCATCATTGGAGCGCTGGAGTGCTTTTGTCCCCATTGGTAATCTTCTTGCGCTGCATGCTACAAACAGTGGTATAATCTTTCAAAACAATGATGGATTGACAACTGAAAAAATGTTAGTAATTCCCAGCAGCTCTGTCTTTTGTTCCCGAGAACGGGCTTTTGTTACAAGGCCCACAGCTCTTTTGTCCAATTTCAGGCACCCAAGCTATGCGTACAAACCAAAGGTACTCGAAAATGGGCTCCCCGGCAGGATATGGTTAAAATGCGTCATTAATTTAAAAACACCTCTTTGACATAACCTCCAACAGTATTTTTCATTCTGTACTACATCATACATTCCATGAGGATGATGAAATAACATCCCCTAATTTCCCATTCCAAGTGCGGTTTGTCCGAGTTATTCAGAAAGAAGGTTTTCCTGGCAAATGCAAATGAACATATTGACTTTTCAGGAGGTCAAACCTGAAGACCCGTTCATACCGCAATCTAATACAAAAGTGCAGTATTTTTGACGTCACAAAAAACAAAACAAAAATTGCTCAAGTCAAAATGTGTTTGAGCCAAAGTCACAATGTCACGTTTGTGTTCACTTTCTTGCCAAGTATTAACTGGCATTAATGCAGAAACAGAATATCCCCAAATTCTCACCAATCTCGCAATGCAGGCCGTCATACCCAGCTGCACACGCACACGTGTACCCAGCACCCTGAGGGAAACATATGCCTCCATTTTGACAGGGGCTGCTCTCACATGGGACCACTGGTGGAACATCTGTACAGAGAAGGCAAAATAAAGTTGGAAAGGAATTGAATGAAATGGGACTTTCGCTTAAATTTATGTCATTTTACCAACATCTCCCCCAGGGTAGTACATCTTTGGAAGTAGTTTGCGGTACCCAATGCTACATCTGAGTCGGACCAGCCAGCTAACCCCGGCAAGCTCCGTGGTCAAGTTGTTCAAAAGTCTGCAAGCGGAAGCAGGAAGTTGGTTCCAGTCCAACCCGGGTATTAAGCTTGTAAACTTGCTTCATAAGCTCCCGAAAAACACTGAGCACACAGTCTCACAAATATCTGTCTGGGCAAGGGCAAAACCCATGATCATGAAGTACATCACTTTTGCAGAAAATTTGAAAATATGGTAGACTCGTACAAGACTTCACGTATGAATTACTTAGAGTTTATCGAGGTTTTGCTTTTATAGGGAACTAAATGACCTTTGGCTAACTATTCTCTGAATGCAAATCAACTTTAACTTACACGTTTCGCAGTTGGCACCCACATAATTGTCCAGGCAGTCACACAGGTGGCCTGTACTGCGTTGTGGGTAACAGACTCCACCATTCTGACAGGGGGAGGGGTTGCATGGATCCGGAGGGGCAGGGGCTATAAATGGAAAAGACCAATTACCAATAATCACTTCAGCAAATTTCTCAGGAAGGGTTGGAAAAATGTCCTCTCTCACAGGCTTTTTTCACTGACAGACTGATGCTGTTTGAAGTTTCTTCTACAACCACAAATTATTGGCTGCAAAATACCTTGTTCTTCCTCGATTATCATTTCAAATAGTACAATCACAGTGGATTTTTGTGACTTTTTGCACACAATAAAAAAAATTCAAATCCTCAAACTGGTAAGTGTTGCAGTGTCTTTTCCTTTTTTTGCATGGCCTTTTTTTCTAAGTTGTTTTTCTCATGGAAAGTTCAACATACTGGCAAACATCAGAAAATGAATGTATGGCAAGGAATTGGAATAAGCAGCAATGTATATGCAAGCAAAAAATAACTCTACGAATTACCAGTTTCACAATGTAATCCACTGTAGTCATTCACACAGGAGCAGATGTAGCTCTCACTGATGCTGCTACGGAAACAGAATCCTCCATTCTGGCAGGGGGAACTGTTGCAGGGATTTTGAGGGACAGGAGCTGTGAATTTAAAAAGGCGATAAAAGTAAAAATCATACACAAATCATGTTTACTGATGTCTTACTGTGAGTCACTATAAAAATAAGACATCACAGATGCTTGGGGTTTTCACAGAGGGGGCTCAAATCTTGGGACACCGCTGAACTTTTTGACAATGCACAATTTGAATCACAGTCATTAAACGAGAAAATAACAGCGCAGTGCCAAAAGATGATGGGAATGTATTTGTTGTACTTAATTGTATTAATTTGAGATGAAACTTTGAGATGACAGGGCCCCATGGAGATGATTGTCGAACTGACTTATCAACGCTTAGAATTTGAACAAATGATTCCAGTTCTGAATTTTATTTTCCAGTTCTGAGATTAAAGCCTGATAAGTTCATGACAACTCTGCTTCTTTGTTAGGAAACCTTATTTTTCAAAAAGTGGTCTTTAAGAGAACAATATTTCTGAACAGTTGAACTGCATCAATTCATTCAGTGGTCCCTTTGACGTGTTATTTTTCCAGTTACCTATTTCGCAGTGTGTTCCAGAATATCCCACCGGGCAAAAACATTGGTAGGCGCTGTTGAGATCGGACACCAGACAGAATCCACCATTCTGGCAGGGTTGGCTCAGGCAAGGGTCAGCCGGTAGTGAAACTGGGAAGAAATTCATCAGCGAATACTATTAAACTGAGCATAGGAACACCTGCTTGGAACATTTATTTGCTGACTGAAAACTTGCAGGGTACCAGTCTAAAGCGGACAGGACATGCAAGTCTACAGGACATTTTGGCTGGTAACCTGAAGCTGCTACATTGAGTACAAAGTCCTCACCAATTCTGTCCTATTTATACATCACTTTGTCTCATTCAATATTTTGCTAAGAATGTTTTAACTATACAAATTCATGCAACTTCTGAAAAAAAGACAAGACCGCAAAAACTTGTTGACACCGTTAGAGCTCACACATCTAAAAATTCACAAAGACACAGGTTGTATCCAAATTTGTTGTCTAAAGCTAGGGCTGTGTCTTAGCTGGAAAGACGTGGGGACATGCTGGTAATATAGACATAGTTATAGCTCTTGAAGTCCATTTAGGACACGGCTACAGCTTCCTCGACAGTCGGCCCAAGCCCTCCCTTTTTTCGTCAGTGAGGTCACACTTGTGCCAACCTTGAAAAGTCCAGTAGCCTTGCATGATGGCAAACCTACCAAATTGGCAGTTGTCTCCGGAGTACCCTTGAAGGCAGTTACACCGATAGGCGTTACCAAGGTTGATGCACGCTGCTTGATTCAGGCAAGGGTTACTGGCGCATGGATCTGACACTGGGGGGGGGGAAAAGAAAACAATATCCAGCTATCCTGTAATTGGCCAACAGAAAGTGTGCGACAAATTTGATTGGTTGCCAGAAACTGGTGAATTTTCCATAACAATAACAAATTCAATACTTTTGATTTGATTTAAAAGACAAATAGATATTTGCAACCTGCTCTGTAACAAGGTCTACTACAAAAGTGAGAAAAAAGGAATTCTATGAATGCTTTGAAAAGCCATGACGTAAGCTTCATTTGGTTCATGTGAGTTCAATACCTCTTTTCGTCAATTAAACAGAACAAATTGATAACATGATTTAGTTTTAGAACATATGAATTGATAGGCTTTGAGAAAGTCGCTTCTAAAACAGGTTTACACTTGGAAGAATCAATTGAAATCTCCTTAGTTCCTTTGGAACATACATGTATTTGTTATAAAACCTGAAACTTCAGCGATCAAAAACATTATTTCAAATTAATACAAATAAACACAAATTGAATTTCCTACCTAGAAATCCCCCCTCTTAACTTTGAGTGATTCACTGCACTGAAAGGCACACGGTGACCTACCGTATATCCATTACCTTTTTCTGGAGTAGGCAATAATTAAATTTTGTTGAAATCGACATGTTTTTGTTTGAAAGTTGAAATATTTGGCTACTTGTGGTTGGCTAGGAAAGAAAAGTTTCAATTGGCTGGGAGAAACAGTAAAGCTGTCTTGATTGGTTGAGAGATTTTTACCTGTTTCGCAGTTGATGCCTCCATATCCAGCTGTGCACTCACAGACATATTCACTAATAGAGTTGGTTAGACACCGGCCGCCGTTTTGACACGGATAACTACCGCAGGGGTTCACGATGGCTGCCAAGGACAAATATGACGCACATATAGATGAGACCAAACCACAGGAGATAACTTCAAGCAAATCAAGTCTGCTTGTTGGTTTTAGAGTAAGCATATTTGTTGGACCAAATAGCGAATGCAACAGCGAGAATATAAATGCTGATGCCATTGAATCCTGTTTGATCCAAGTTTTACTGATCATAATTTATGCATCATGCATAAATTATGCATACCATTAAACACAAAAATGCTGCCAGGGACAATCTGGACGACGATTTGGCTGAAATTGAGCTGAGAGTACAGGCACTAGTGCCAACACCAGTTCAGTGCAATATCCAGCGAGATGCGACACTTCAGATTAGAAGTCACAGTGGTCCCACAGTTCACCTGCTTGTCTACACACCAAATATCAACGGTCCAAACAGTTGATCAGTCATTTGTCATGTCACCTTGAAGCAGACTTAACATACAGCAGATTTCCCAGTCAATTAGTATCATCCATCCTTTAATAAGCAACCCGCCATGTTTGGAAACAAAATGGTATCATATCTACATCAGGCATGACCTCATGTCGTAAATATCCTTTGACGGCTCTTTACTGACATCATTCACTTTGCCATGGTAACTATTTCGTTTCAACAAAGAGCTGACACCAGCTTACCTGTTTCGCATTGCAGGCCCTGCCAGCCAATGGGGCAGTTGCAGGCATAATCACCAGCCGATGGGAAACAAGAGCCTCCGTTGAGGCAAGGAGAGCTGGCACAAGGATTGGACAGGTCTGTAGAAACAAAAATCAGGGATAACGTCAAGGGCAACCAGCCAAACAGAATGAGAAGCAGTCACTCGACGAAATTGAGATTTGAAATGAATAGTTTTACTGCGCAAATTTGATCAGGTACATGTTAAAGTGTGCAGATCTCTTGATAAACGGCCTAACAAAAGACTTTGTAGAAGCTTGGCAGGAGCTGACATAATGGTCTGATGTGACTGGTCTACTGTTGTTTATGTCATTCTGAGCCAGCATACAGTAGCTCAAACATGACAAAAATAAAAGTGGATCGGTCATGTGTTATTAGTGTAATTGCTACCACCAAACATCTCAAAAGTCTTCTATTTTATCAAGTTTCCTTGTAGCTAGACACTTGAAGGGTTTACTTTCAAACCTTGACATATCCATTCCAAAATGTCCACAAGTTTAACTTTTCCATGTATAGATTTTAGTCATGTTTAGCTAATAAGCCTGTCCAGACTGACTTCAGGCAACCAGGAGAGGATGGGTTTCTCAAGGGTACCAAAGTGATGCTAAAGACATTTTGGAAAAACCTTCACTTGTTGGAGACAACCATCTGATATTAAAACAGTGTGTGAAAAAAAAGTGCATTGGTTGCATTGAAAGGTTCTTATTGTCAACATGAGAGTGAATTTCACAAAAATGTCTGCTTGCTTCATCTTTCACAGTACTTTCCCAATCGAAGTTATTAGCTAACTGTTTCCATCTTTTTTTTGGACAGGACAACTCTCTAAATTCAAGAGTGAAAACTCAGTCTTTTCAAGTGAAAACTCCCACAGTCAGAAACTAGGGATAAGACATTTTAAAGTGAAATCAATTCTTCAACCGCAAATATTGAGGTTTTTACCCAAGCTCCAACTGAAGTGATTATTTTGTCAAAGCAGTGTTGTAGTCGAGACCAACACAAGACCAGACACAAGACCAGACACAAGATTAGTCACAAGACCAGCCACAAGACCAGCCACAAGACCAGACACAAGACCAGACACAAGGCCAGACACAAGACCAGACACA